TTGGAGACCTAAGCAGTGACACCCCAACTTAAGGGTTGTGCATTGTAGCGCACACGCAAACCAACCTTGACGAAAGGGAGGCCAGCAACGTCTGCACAGCGCCACGGCCATGGCAGTGGCACTGAGAAGCTTGGCTTGGCTTTCAGACTTGGGTTTGGCATAAGTTTCCGACGTTTAGGGTTTAGGGGTTTAGGGGTTTAGGGGTTTAGGGGTTAGGGGTTTAGGGGTTTAGGGGTTTAGGGTTTAGGGTTTAGGGTTTAGGATGCTAAGTTCAAGGGGTTGTGATTACGGGGTGTAGTGTGGTTTTTTTAAGGCACTAGCCCGTGTAAAGATGTTACTCACTGCGATCCTCGAATAACTCCTAAATCAAAAACCGAGTGGCCTGTCTGATAGGGCTGATGGCTGCAGAATGGGATGCCTTCTCGATTAGTGCATGTAGCCTCAATGTTGGCTGTGACGGGCTTATTGATGGTTGCGGCGACCCCTGGAGACCCGCAAGACGCAGTTTCTAAAGACAGTCCTTCATGATCCTGACTTCCTTTCCAAACTCAGAAATCAGAAAGGCTTCCAAGCCAAGATCGTTTCCGACAGGGCCGGTATTCATTCACAAACAACGCACGAAACCCTCGACCCCACAGCTTAAATCCTAAACCTCTACCAGAGACCCTAAACCCACACGCCCACGCTTGACAGGTGGTTCTGGCGCAAGCAATGCAAACCGGCAAGCGGACAGTCCAAGTTCAATGCAACGACGGCATGTTGCTTGCCAGATTAAAGCGAAGATGCATATTCACAATATGCGAAGTCCTAGCCGAAACCCTGAACCCTATAGCGACCCTATACATCCCTAAACCCTACGCTTCGAAACTAGGTCTTCTATGCAGGCCCTTTTGCTAGCAGGCAAAGGCTTGAGGAAAACATGCTTTCAAGCATCGGAACATCAACACAGAACAGCCTACTGAGTTCTTCAACACCCCCCACCCAAGTTCAAAGTCTTCCATGTAGACCGAAGAAGAAGTTATTCCAGTGATGAAGTAAGGAAACCTGGCGAAACACCTCGTTCCTACACTGTCCGACACCCTGGCACGAGAGCTCGAACACATCCAAACCCGTGTTGTGAGGTATCGAAGGTGTGTGCGAGCTACCCGACTGCGACATAATCTCGATTCCGGTTTCGCAGACTTTTTCGCATGCCATCAACCGGCCTGCCAGCAAATCAAAAGAAGCTCTGTACAGGCAGCCAGCTGAAGCATGGCAAACATGATTGCGTGACGGTGCGTCGGCAGTACAAAAGAAGTTCGGTCCTTCAAGGTGTGCTTCAGCACGTGATGATCCTGAGGGATTCGAGTTTAAGGATTTTAGGCCTATATAAGGTCCTGCAAAACTGAAAATGCGCGCTGGTTGGCGCAACCACACCTAGGCTGTACATCCGAAGGCATCCATGCGTGGTCGGCTGAGACTAGCAGACCCAGTTCGTCACGTTCCCTCCCAATGTCTCGGGAGCTTTGCCCTCAGCACCTAGGTTCTTGAGCAACTCCTTAATAAGGGTACCCTTTTTTCTACTATTCAGTTTTAATAAGGGAACCATATACCATAAAAAGGGGCAAAAGGGTACTACTCAGGAACCTAGGCACACTGCAAAATTAATCCAGGCCCAAGATAGCTGAGGCTTGCTGCATGGCAGGGTAAGTTCAAGCTGCTCCCGGACGCACAGTACCAAACGCAAGTCTTTCGGACGGTGCAGTTGCATCCGACAAGGGTGGGTTTCACCTTAGTTGACCACTTTTCTACGAAGAACCGAGAACAAACGGATCTCCTCAAAGTAGATTGTTAGGACTCAGGCCCGCGAACAATGGGCACTGGACTGCCAAGTTGCTGGACACGAGATGAGGTCTTGGCACGCCCAGCTGATGCCGCGGGCACTGATGCCCACCATGTGTAGGAACTCTTGCTCCTTGCAAACCAACTCTG